CTAAAACCCCCCCGGGTTTCCCTCTCGCCGGTTGAGTCGGCGCCGTGGCTCCTGGCACCTGCCATTCAGAACAACTGGACTGGAATTATTTGAACTGTAAATTTTCGCCAAGTCATTGTGGATACATTTGTCCAGAACTCATGAATGAAATCACCATTGTAATATAGCCTTCTTGGATAATACTCATGGAATGCGGACGATAGAGAAAAAAACACCTTTACTTCTATTAGTTTTGAAGCACAATGTGGTCAATATTGGAGTCCCATAAAACTCACGTCCATATATGCAGTACAGCAATAGAGTTCTTATAAAAGACAAGATATGTATATGTATGTATATAGGCCAAGAAATTAAACCTGAACAAAATCAACCCCGTGCAATCAAAATTGATTTCAATAATAGACGACAACCGTGCAACATTTTGTAATTTTCAAAATGGTAGGTGATAAAACATTTGATGAGTACCTATCTCATTTTTATCAATTGCTCTGAATATATTGATAATACGCATCTTTATTCAAGATTTGGATTGCTCTGACTTATCTTAGTCTGACATTGTGAGACAAATCTTTCTATGTGCTTTTTTGTTTCTTCAATTATACGAAGTATTTACAGTGACTGCCTCCGTGGCCGAACGGTTACCATGCCGGACTGCCACGCAGAGGTCCCAGGTTCGATTCCCGGGCCGGGAGAAATATTTGTATGGCCTACATTTATTTCTCTCGTGAGTTTGGGTGTAATTTGTGGTTGTCTATGTGTGTGTCCATGGCACCCGCGACACAGGGTTTCCCTAGTGCGTGGCTATGTTGACTGTGAGCGTTATTATTAGTGACTCTTGCATAAGGGTTTTCTATCTATGTTGTTTTCTGTCTTTTTTCAACCTCAAATTCACATTCTTTCTTGTATAAGATCCGTTACCGCCTCAAGAATAAAAAAACCAAAAATAAGCCCTTTTCCATTCTCTTTGGTGTTGTTTCAAACGCACAATGCTTCATACATAGGATACGAACAATCAAATCTGATCAATTCCGAGAAGTTAATTCGATAAATTGATTTATTACTTTCATCGCGAGCACGGGGACATTACATCCTATCAAGAGAATGGATTCGTCTCTTGACTTCTTTTAGTTTATATGATTCTAATAACCATAATCGTAAGGTTGTAAGTTCTTTTCCATCACCACGTTTAGCATTTATTCTCTGCTGTGCTTCATCTATGAATTTCACTTTCTGAGTTGTAAAGAAAGCATTCACTGAATCTGTCGTTCCCTTATCCAATACTTTTTCTTCTATGCAAGTGAAGGAGAACGCTGGCATGTGTGAATTTTCTCCACTATCCCTAGCAGTCAATCCAAGAATACAACACAAGCTACACCGTAAAATAACACCTCTCCCGAAGCTTCCGCATCGTCGACCTCTATCTCAGTTTGAAAGTCATTAACACAAATCTTACGAAATCTGTCTGCTTTGGATCAAACAGGCACTTGTATCGATAAAGGAATGCTCAAGTAGGCAAATGGATTTGAGGTCGACGACCTGAACTTTGTATGCGCGGCTTTATGTATGTTATTATATTTGTGAAGATAATGTTCGAAAGACAATGCAATGAGTCATTTTGTATAGAATGCGTTGAGATAAATGTAATGCGTAACATTTAAGACATCTTCGTTATTTTAAAGATTCTCAGTGACGTGCTTTTTGGGTCGTTCTTATTGGAAATACCGATATTGTTACGTCGTTGTTTGATGAACGGTTTATTGTTTATAACCTCCTAGTATAGTGTATTAATTTCCTATTGGAATATGTTAACGGATTACAAATAAATTTCAGCTAAATTATTATTTGCTTTTCATGTCGAGCAGTTGGAAACTTCCTACATCAGAAATATTTCCTAATATGATCTTCGATATGTCGTCAGCACACAATGCAAGCGCACTGTCTAGATTTTAATGGAAAACATCGTTGTTCATTGTTTCAGAAGATTATTTTTAAAATTTTTGGTTTTGATTTGTTACGGTTGTTATGGTTGTACGAAAATTATTACCTACTTTCTGTATACTAACCCATTCTTATTGAAGGATTTTTTCATATAATTTTGTAAATTACATTACAAAAATTCCATCTCTAAGCGAAAAATTAGGGTATGAATCCGGTTTATTAAATTTCAACCACTTTCTGTTAACCTATTTCAATTAACCTTGGCGCGTAGATGTAATTTAAATGAAAATAATATGTTATGGCGCGACTTGCGTGAGAGCGATTTAGAGCGCGAGATTTCTATGCGTGAATAGCAGTATCTCGCGTTTTATGTCGCTCTCGCGCAAGTCGCAACCTGATGTGATAGCCCTACTGATGATGGAAATGGCAGGTAAATGAGAGGCACACCTCAACAATGTACAGCAGCTACTTTGCGTTTGGGCTCAAATTATTCGTTTTGACGAGGATTTCCATATGCGTTTCATTTCTCGTTGAGACCGCAGTAACGAATACAGCGAATAGTCCCCTTTACACAGACACTCTATCGCACGTGATCAGGAGCGTACAGGACAATCCTGTGAATTTGAAATTTTTTAAGCTAACGCTCTTTCGCGCGCGATTTCTCGTGTTCGTTTTTGTAACATCGAAAAGAGCGTCCGTTGAAAGGCTAGTAGTTCAGGATAGACCGCGTGAAACGAGTGCGCGATTGCACGCGCGACTGATGAGCAGTGATCGGAATAGGTATAGTTCATTTACTAAACTTCGATCAACCGAGACAGAAAATGGAGACTGCCTTATGACTACATTTGTTTGTCCCGGATTTTCCAGGATTCCGGAAATCACTTAGGTACATTAAAAATTGACGTTATTTGGGATAGGTAGATAGAATGAATGATGATGAATTATTTTTTGGCGGAATTTTCCAAATTATTCCGAAAAATTAGTGGTTGTAGCAACTCGTTTAGGTAAATATAGTCTTACCTACTACTATCCATCCCAAATACCGTACAATTTTAATCTACTTAAGTGATTTCCCGAATCCCGAAAAAATCCGGGACAAAAAAATGTCGCAAGGCTGTCTGCACTTTCTGTCTCTGTTCCTCGTCGTCATCATATCATATACAGCCTGAATTCACCCACTGCTGGGTATAGGCCTCCATGTTTCAGTGCCACTTCCCACGATCACGTGCTAATCTCTTCCATCGATATATATCCGCCCATTTCGCCACTGGGCGCCCGATGTTCCTGTATCCAGTCCTTGGACGCCACTCAGTTATTCCATCTGTCATCTTGTCTCCGTATCAGGTGCCCTGCCCAGTTCAACTTTAGCTTCGTGATGCGGTTCCCCACGTCCTCTCTCTCTTCTCTCGTCTCTGTTCCTCGTCTGTCTGTGACATGAAGGTATATACACTCTACCTGTTCCGATCACTGCTGAAAAGCGCAACCGCATGGTCTTTCCCTTTTCCTTCCAACGTCTTTACACGTGCCCTCAATCGCGCACGATTGCTGTCATACGCGCGATGGAGTGTCTGTAAGGCCCGCTATTACTTTTATAAGCTAAATTTTGAGGTCGGTATTTGTTTATAAAAAAAAAAAAATTATATTTCGCTATGTAACGTTACTGTAGAACTGTGCTAAACACGTGAATCGAAGAACGTTATGTAATATTTAATGTGTAACAATATAACTATATACTGACTTTACAATAGCCGTACAGCACCATTGTCTAAACAATTTTTTATTTAAACAAAACTTCAAACAATTGACACCATATTATTACTGACGTCAATTTATTCAATAGGTGTTTTGGTATTGCCGATTTGGGTATTTGGGTTGCGAGTTTATCAATACTTTTGAAGGATGTTATTGAAGACAGCGTTTGATTTTAACGAGGCAAAAAATTTAAAACACTTTTCTCTCACAAAGGACATCTCCAGCGTCCTCAAGAGTGAACAAAGTACCTTGTCGTGTAAATAGAAAGAAACAAAGCTTATAATTTTTAACCCATTTAAAAAAGGAGGAGGTTCTCAAGTCGGCTATTTTCTTTGCGTGTGTGTTTTACGCGACTACTCCGACATTTGTGAACCTATTTCAAGGATTCTTTTTTTTATTGGGAGGGGAGTACGTCAGTAGCAATTCCGTTCAAATTTGAAAAAAATATTTCACCTCAAATAACAGCAAATTAGGGGATAATTCCGTTTTTTTTTGGAGTTCATGCACTTTTCGCTAACAGATTTCAAATTGGCAAATAGTTATAATACCTTACAGCTTCAGTTGTCGCTTTATTTTTTATAAAACGAAAAAAGGTCTACATAAAAAGATCAGAAAATAATGGTTACGTGTTACCCGTATTAAATAGATTACATCTCTTTTATTGGAGTAATGCCAGAAAAGTAACGAAGAAAAGAGATTTCATATAATTGCTTCTTAAGTAAGTTCATAGCACGTTACTCTAAATGCTTATCAATTGGTCCGGGTATATCAGGGTCAGAGGTAGAGCAACAGTTGATAAGGTGACATTGCCAAAACACGAGATGTTTACATTTTAATAAATGTTTCAAGCTCTGATAACTCAGCGCCGGTCTTATTCTATTAAAAAAACGTAAGAATTTCATAACTAGAAGAAGGAAAGATAAATTCCATAATTTACTACTGTAGCGTTTTGTGAGATAATTTTATATTTCATAATTTCGACAATACCCTAAACACTTTATTGACGTCGCCATTTTAATAAATTGTTCATTTTAAATATAGAATATTGATATTAAAATGAAACGTTTTGGTAAATAAGTGATGTATTATTTCTTTTTTGTAAATTTATATTTGAAGAAAAAAATAATGCAGTAATAATAAAAATCCATGCAAATTTCCAGATTAACTGCGTTTGATACCGCTGTGCAAATGTGATTTTTATACAAGTGTAGTGTGAAAATATTTATTCAATTTATTATAATAATTGTCCTAACAAAAATATAATATTAAAGACTTTATTTATTAATGAAAACTAGTTTCTAAGATGGGACGAGAAAAAATAACGTACCGATGGCGTGCTTCCCACGTGATGTGATGTAGTCAAAAAGTCTGATATCCATTTTAAGACTGTTTTAAGTTAGTGTTGTTTCGGAGTGATTATGTTGATCAACACCTTCTTGGACACTGAGGATTTCGTGCATTTGTACTATGAGGACGAGCCTGCAGTGCAACAAGGGTGCGGTGCTGGAGCTAGAATGGCTTCGAAGTACCCTCAGAGGCCGCCTTCTCCTGAGTACACAGAGGTAAGAATATACATATTTGTCGTGGTACAGACTTGGCGTCCAAAGTTAAGAGCAAACAAAAACAGTTTTTTTTTTATAATATCAAGTGACGGGACGAACAAGTCTTGCGCCTGGTGGTAAGCTACACGCCTGTCCATAACAGTTACAGTGCCACTCGAGAGCTTTAAATCGTAAAGATCGGAGGCGCACTGCCACTGCACTCGTCACCTTGAGACATAAATTGACAAGTCCCACGTGCCTGTAATTTCACCAGCACCCTTACCCTTCAAAACCGGAACACAGTAATGCTGACATTACTGCTTGGCTTTCTAGATAAGGTGACGGTATTTCCCTGGACGAACTCTTTCACAAAAAGCCCTACTGCTACTAATAATGTTTGCAAGCGGATATTGTAGCTAGCTCTGTCTGGTCCTTAAATAACGCACACACACACACTCAACATAGCCCCGCACTAGGGAAACCCTGTGTCGCGGATGCCATGGACACACACATAGACAATCACAAATTACACCCAAACTCGCGAGATAAATAAATGTAGGCCATACAAATATTTCTCCCGGCTCGGGAATCGAACCTGGGACCTCTGCGTGGCAGTCCGGCATGGTAACCGTTCGACCACGGAGGCAGTTAAATGTCATTGATTTGACAAGAACAAGCAGTGGCCGCTATTGAACGCCGTTGCCTGCACACAAAAAGAACCCTTAAGGGTCGATTTTGCTGATAGTAGGAATAAAATCATACATAGAAAAAAAAACATTTTTATTTACGATTATTCCCAAGCCGTGTTCGTTTTGAAATAGAGAATTAACTTTTTGATTTGACGTCCACACATTTTTAGAAATAAGTTTTTTTTTTTTGTCCTCAGGAGTTACACGGACGATTCGCCAGGTATCGTCCGTTTAACCATGTAGTGGAATTATCAAATAGAGATGTTTCGTAGTAGAAACTTTCTACATACCGTTTTGTGGTATAAACTTTCTACCAGTCCTTTTTTCGAGTGGTTACACACGGTGGCTTTAAACAGCGATGCAAAGAAGCGTTCGTGAAACGCGCGATTGTATCGCTACACTGTGATTTATAGACGATTACATCGATGCATTCGCGCGTTTATATCGATGCAGTTGCGCGCTTGCCTCCCTGGTTAAAATCGCTCGCGTGTGTAAAGGTAGACGATTAGCGACTACATCGCATTTGCATCGTGGTTGCATCGCGTTTGCATCGCTGCTATAAGTCGCCGTGTGTAACCGCTCTTAGACATAAATATTCTACGGAACTTTGCAAATTAATATCATCGAAATGACATAAAAGACAATTATGTCTAGGTATCACTAAATTTTGACCCAGTACTTCCACAGAAACATAACCCGAACATAACGAGAAAGAAAATACATTCGAATCAAGTCTTCTTTGGTTGTATTCTTAATTGAATCAATGACAACATAATTAAATTCATTATTCAAAAAAAATTGTTGCAATCATTGTGCTTGTTGCTGCAATCATTGTCGGATCGATACGAATTACATTATCACCTTAAACAAAATCTTATTTATTTCAATCGCTTTTTTCGGTGAAGAAGCAAGAAATTGTAATACTATAGCAAATCGAGGGTTATTCAGAACTTTCGAAAATCTCCTGCTAATAACATTGATGGATTATATTTGCGAAATATACCCTGAACCTAAGAAAATGCACATTGTTATAATGTATTGTTTCGTTTGTCTATATGTATATATGTATATGTCTGGATTACAATGGATGATTCATTTTATAAGCATGTTTGCGGACTTACTGAGTATATACAGCTGTTTGAACTTCACAAGAAACACGTTTGTTTCAATACCTGCAAAGTAGCTAATGTGATCCATAGAATTTTTTTTTAAATTTTAAATAATTACATTACATAACTTATGGTATAATTTTAAAGGTTATTCCTCCAAAATGTCGACCCTTTTTCAGAGATAGACGTATTACTTAAAATTTTTGACAGTAATAACCATTATTACAATTTGTCTTCAGAAAATCTTTCATTACACTTCACATTGGATCTAAATTTTAACCGCCAAATCATCTGTAACTCATATAATGTTTGCAAAGGTTAGTTGGAAGAAATCCCTTTACGGGATAAGCTCGCCTTTGTACACTAATATTTTAAATTGTTTCTTCAAACGTGTAATTTACTTTGTGGTACAATAAAGTGTTTAAAGAAGAAATAATGTTACGACAAATATTACAAAAGCGATCATGATTACACATCGTCTTCTTTAGCACAAATACATCGTACTTCACTATCGTCAACCCATTACTTGCCTCCTTGGCCGAACGGTTACCATGCTAGATTGTTACGCAGAGGTCCCAGGTCAAGAGAAATATTTGTATAGCCTACACTTACTTCTTTAGTAAGTTTGGGTGTAATTTGTGTTTGTCTATGTGTATGTCATGGCACCCGCGATACAGGTTTCCGTAGTGCGGGGCTATGAGTTTGTGCGTTATTATTATTATTCATCCAACTGTTGGGCTCTGAGACGATTTAGATCGGTCAATCATGTTGTACAATGCATGGTGGAGGTGGCTAGGGCAGTGATTGTATCAACACTGCATTTGGTTCCGTCACGTTTGGATTCCACTTTCGTTTAACATCTGGAGGAGAGTCATATGCCTGTCAAGAATAATAAAAAAAGTTAGCCACGCTAGCGTGATGAGGGTTGACTTCTCGCGTTTTCCAAAAGTTATTGAACAATCTTATATTAGAGATATTATTGCAACAATGTTTCGGGCCCTTCACAGGTTATATGGTCACGGCTGATTGAAGTATTAAATCACTTTAATAAATAAATACACGCAATTAAGTTCCGAGAAAAAAAAAATTGACAATGGTGTGACAATCGCGAAAACCAGAAAACTGAAACTGAATTGTGACATAAATAAGTCGTTTTCGTGTAAATTGTGACATACATTAATTATGTTACAAGTTTCATTAAATACTTACCAATATTTTTGTTACAAATTTGTGGTTGGTATTACTTAGTCAATATAAACGAGACACTGTCTCGAGATAAAATAAATGTATTTTATTACTTTCTAAAAATGCCTTAAAAGGTTTCATGCCAAGCAATGTACGACTTACATTCTTATAATAAGGTTATGTTTGCAATTTAGTAGTGTCTATATAAAGATATCATACAGGATGTGAGGCATTCCTCTTATTTAATTCATGAATGAATGAAGTAAGTCTCCTAGACTATTGTCCAACTTCCGTTCAAGATAACAGTCTATATTATATTCACGACACATAATCATTTTCTATGTTAATTTGAATACGAAATGAACCTAGCACCAGTCGGAAAAAAGCTATTGTTCCTTCGACCTCGTTAGTCTAACAGTTGTACTGTGGACGTTGGATGAGGAGGTTCCGAGTTCTATTACCGATAGGACCAATTTGGGAAATGAACTTTTCTAATGAATGTTCTGGGTGTCCTTTAGTGAATTCCGATGCTATTGAAGAATTCCTTGTACTCATAGTACAAGGAATTTCATAGACTGAAACCAGTTATTGGTGTGGTTGTCTTGCGTATTATTCTTATAATTATAATGACAATGATTGTAATAATCATTATTATCATTTTTATTATAATCATTGTTACAACGAAGCAAAAAATTGTGATGAAAATTTCATTTAGTGAAGAGATGTAGTAGAAACCTGGAAGAGTTGAACCGGTAACAGTCTGTCGGGGATTTTTTGTCATCCAAGTACGCAGAAACTCCAATACCAGAGTAACGATATTATCCACGGGAGGACAACCCAGAACACCCAGACCAAAATCAGTTTTTAAAAGTTCCTTTTCTTCTGGGAATCGAACCGAATGGCTAGAGATATTTAAAATTTAGCACTCTCATTTCGAGATATATGTTTTATTATGGGATTCCAATATCCCGAAGTACTTGCCAAAAATAACTTCCATTAAAAAAATTTGTGGCAACCAATAGTGGCAAAAATATATTTTCTTAAGACTCTGGGGCAACATTTCTTTTATTATTTTTATTTTATTTTATGATACGATTTTTTATTAATATATTGCCTTTCTTGTCATAAACTAACGCATTATTTCAGTAACTTGAAAAATTTAATATTTTCTTTAGAAAACTTTAAGTATAATGCAACATACAGTCGTCAACTTTTGAAACAATCTACTTGTAAAAAGCATTGTTTTTTTTTTTTTTTTTTTTTTTTTTTTTTTATTGCGACTCGACAAAATGACTGCACCGCGCCTGATGGAAAGTGCGAATACAGTCCAGAGATGAGAGTAACGGATGGAAAACACAAATATCTTCACTCCGTCACTATCATTTTGCCGGTCTGGCCAAATGTACTGGATGTACACCAACTGATCCCTGAACGCGATTCGCAAAAGCGTTTCACTGTGGAGGGTTTTCCGCCGTGTGTACTGTGGTCGCTATCCAGTCGGCACAGAGCCTACCACAATGCTAAGCAGATGGACACTTGTGACGCCCTCGGTCGCCTCTTACGACCCCCACGGGCATGTATAGGGAGGCGACAATGTATTCTTAAGCCGTCGCCCCACGGCTAAAAATTAGTAATATACAAACAAATAATACTTGTTGTAATATACAAACAAATAATACTTACGTAAAAATAGTTTCTGTCCGATAAAGCAAAGTAACAACAATGTAACATCAACCTACCAGGAAATAATAAAACGCTAAGGGGCTTACCGCGTATAAAATTACACAAACAAGCGTTGCAACGTGACCTACAAACGCTGCACCACTTACCTGTGAATACCAGGACAACATGAATGGAACAGTGATCAATTCTTCATTCACTGTGTTTGTCATTGAACGGAAAGCATTTAAATATTTGCCGGTAAATTGGAAAGGGACTTCGAATGAATGAGCGATTCAACGATTTAGTTACACATAGATTAAAATAGTATTCATGTTTATTAACAATTACTCTGATCGTAAATCATCTCAAGTAAAGA